CCAGTAAGGAGGTAGCCTAGTCACAGTCTGCCAACAGAGGCATTGCTGAGCTGCCATGGGCTCTGCCTAGCTGCCGTGTGAACTTCCTTGCAGTTTTATTTATAGCAGTATAGTTAGAACTGCCTCAGTAATGGCAGTCTGTCTTAGTAATGGTGGACTGCCTCACTATCGGCCAACGCCCTTCCCCCAACAGAGCTGGACCATCCCGTTTCCAGCTATGCTTGCTGCAAAACTCTCAATCCAGAGCATTTCAGATTGCTGGCCTTTGTGGAGTTGGGACCCACTGAGTCAGATCACCTGGCTCCCTGTTTCATAATAGAATTCTTGAGTCAATAGAAATTAAGCAGAAATGAATTTAAATCACCCAGTGTTGGAGCTGAAAAGACATGAAATATTATCCATTTCAACAGCTGTACTTTATACTTGAGGAAGCAGTCTCACCAGAGAGTTCTGTGAATGTGGTGCAGTATGCAGAGGAAGCTGAATTAGGAGTTAGGAAAGCAGAGCTGGTCTGCTGTCCCTTGCTCTGTCAGTCATGTAGAAAATTTAGAAAATTTTCTTAACTATTTTGCAACTCAATTTTGCACCTGAAAAATGAGCAGAATAAAAAAGAATACAGATTTTTCAAAGTCTGAAATTATATCATACAGACCCTCTGATCACAATGAGCAAAGAAACTTCATCCCAAAACTTTTCTGAGCAATTTAAATAATTTAAGATACAAATACATCCAAATAAAGTCCCAAGGATTTACTGAAAATGGACATGACAAAATTTTTAAGAGTGATAAAATATCTAAAGTTGGATTGTAGTAATGGTTATATAACTGAATAAATATTCTAAAAATCATCAAGCTGTACAATTAAAATGGGTAAATTGTTGAATGTATAGGTATGTAAATTATACTTCCACAAAGCAGTTTTTAAAACCAGATCACAAAAAAACTTCAAAAAGTAAATTTGACTTAAAAAAAATCTGTACATTCGGACTGAAAAAAAATTTTTTTAAACAAAATGAAGAAACTGTTAAACAGGTTATCTCTTAAACAGAAGACAACACTGGCTGGCTTTACTATACTATTAATCTGACCTTTATCTTCTATTAATATTTTGCTCTAATTGATCAAGCCAGGAAATTTCATTTTGTGTCAACAAAGAAAGTATAATGACAACAGAGTATGCTGTTCCTTGTATCTTTGTGATGAAGAAAAATAATTACAAAAGAGCATTTACAATGGTTATTTAACTTGCATATAAAAATACAAGACAACTTCTTTGAATGTTTGAGTTATGATGTGTGTGTTTAAGAAAAAAGAGTCACAGATTATTTCAGGGTCACAGTGTAGCAATGTAACATCTAGGACTGTCTTCAAGAATGGCTTTTCTAGACTATTTCAGTGTTTTTCTTCTGTTTTAAGCTTGCCTACTCTAGCTTCATTATTCATCTTATTGTCAAACATGAGCATATTTTAAAATTACACTTTAAGTTCTGAGGTACATGTGCAGAACGTGCAGGTTTGTTACATAGGCATACATGTGCCTTGGTGGTTTGCTGTACCCATCAACTGGTTATCTACATTAGGTATTTCTCCTAATGCTACCCCTCCCCAGCTCCTCACCCCTCAACAGGTCCCAGTGTGTGATATTCCCTTCCCTGTGTCCATGTGTTCTCATTGTTCCACTCCCACCTTTGAGTGAGAATAGCATGAGCATTTTTAAAAGGAAAGAAAGCTTGTTTAAAGGGTAAATTGCCAAAAAAATTAAAAGTGCATTCCTTACCAGACATTTTCCACCCTCACCCTGCCACCTGCCTCCACCTCATACACATATCATGCTGTCATTCTTTGCTCCTGGGCAATACATTTTTACATACCCACCCAGGCAGGTATGGACATGGCTTATAGTGGCCTCAAAGGACCAGGGATTTGCAAAGATGCTCATCTTTCCCATTCTTTGAAGAGCAGAAGCAATAAAATTGAGTCTCAGGGCACCAGCCAATGAGATGTTAAAATATCAACTACAAGTGCCTCACCAGGTCTGAAACCAAGATTAAGATCTTCTTTAGTGCTCCCTCCCCTCCTCTTCTTCATTCCTGAAAGTCCAGGCTGCTATCTGCCCCTTGTCCAGTTATTTTTTTCCCCATAAGCTGGTACACCCTTCCTTTGGGTTATTTACTCCCAAAACCTAGCAGAACATAAAGTCCTACCACTCTTGACTCTATTACTCTGTCTTACTCAGGAATATGATTGATTTGTGTTGTGCAAACTAAAGTTGGCTTTGATTCAAATACATTTTTAGAAAATTTGTCCCGGTACACAGGTTTGTAACACTTTTATTTTTTTCCTGCCACTCCCTCCCAGCCTCACTGAATTTACATACTCGCATACATTTCATACTAGAACAGAGAAGCTCTGTATTCTTCATTTTAGTTTTTAATTCTGAGACACCTTAAGCAGGATTTTCTAGAATTGTACTATTATATGATCTTTAAACTATTAATACATTATTATTTGAAATAAGATACTCAATGTATACTAATTATATATTTTAGCAAATTTTCTTACATTCTTCCTTATTTTTTACCATTTTATGATTGAAATATTATCGTCTGTCAATTACTGAGTATAGATTCTAGTTTGCCTAAGAGAGTTCTGGTATAACTTGTCTTGTTATACAAGACTTATTTGGAGATTCACTTTTACTAGAAGTGTTCCAGTCTGATCAAAAACTGATATGGTCTCCTTAGTTATCTATCACCAATTAGATGTCTCTAGAATTGAAATACGGTTGATACATTACCGTTTCCATTCAAGCTGAGCAGTGTATATTTATGCTGTAATTAGTTATTATTGACCGCTACAGAATTGTTAAAAACTAAAATGTGTGAGGATGCTTGAAAAACTAAGCGATAGATACAAGAAATATAGAAATTTCTGAAGATAGACATCCCTTTTTGGTAAATAATAAATTGTATTCTTTATCACTGCCTTATTAAAAAACATAGAATAATTTGCTTTCCTCTTTCAGCAAACACCTAAAGTAACACAAAGAAACCCACACGTATACTCACATTCTTAATACCGAGTGATGATAATGGCAATCACAAAGAAAAAAAATGGCTTATTGGTCAAAATATCTTCCTGAAAGAAGAGAACCAAACTCATATGTGATAAGTTGTATCAACTGTTTACTATGTTGCAATGCACTGTTTTCCTCTGTATAATTTCTGATCTCATTTCTCTGGCATCCTATCTCCTAGTCTTTATTTTTCTTCTCTGTATTTTTTCTTCCAAGTTCTTTGTTATTCTGTTCATCTTTTAAGCATTAAGTATTCATTATGATAGAGCTCTGCATGCAAGATCTATCTTTAGAAATATCCTTTGTAAATATAATAAATATTTACACATTTTCTCCTCAGTAAAAGGAGACTGGCTTTTAATTAGTTACTGGGGTCCTTGGATGAAGCAACTCCTCTTTTTCCCTGATCTTGTTAAAATTTCATCAATTATTATAATAGGTCTTATTGAGCTCTACCTCTACTGTATCTCCACTTTATAAATCCTAGGGTTCTACTATTACATCTGTGGCTTGGGTGTCTGCTGGTGCCATTTACCAACTAAGAAGGAAAATAAGAAACAGGTAAAATAATTTTTTGGAAGGCAGATGGGGAAAGGAAGAACATGAACTTAGTTAAGATATGCTGTCTTGAAGATGCTGTAGAAAACCCAGATCGAAATTTTCAACCCTTACAGTCCTGAAATATGATAAGACATTGATGAATGAGAGTTACAGAGATATTTTTGGGGAAATCAACAAACAGGGAATTAAAGCCGTGGGACTGAATTAGATCATTATAGCTCCATCACATACGATCTTAAAGCTAATGAGTCTGTCTTACTACTAAAATATAATCTCTTTGAGGAAAAGATTTTTTCCCAAGAAACTAAAATAGACCCAAGAACAAGTATCTTTCATAATTATTGTTTTCATTTTAATTAATTATATTATTGTACATGGGATATAACTAGTGGCTTTCCCTTAACCTAGAAAGAAAATCATCTGAAAATTTAGTAAACATCTGATTCTGTTCTTCTTTAAAAGAAGTTAGTAATAAGAATAGTATGAGCCTTTTTAAGCATGTTTTGGGAAACTGGAGTGTTATCTGTAAAAGTAAATTATAGTTGCACCAAGGCTTTTATCTACTCTTGACATTTGGCTTAAGGATTATCCTTCCATCCTTTCACGTGTGAAATTGAAGGTTTCCTTTTGGTTGTGTAAGAAAGTCTAGTTCAGCACCTTAGCATCACACTCTTTAAGTAGAGCAATGAAACTGTAATCCTGCCAGTCTCCTTTCCATATCTAAATGTTATTAGTTCATCATGTGTCTAGTTATCCAGGGAAGTACATGACAATCTCTTTCTCTTATGTCTCTACAGTTAATAGTAGGTTCAAAATTATATGTATAATTTTAATTTATCCATCTGTTCTAAGGCAAGCATTATGAATTAGAAGGCTCCTCTTACCACTGCAAATACTAAGTCATTTAAAAGGAACATTACAATCCTCAGATGTTTTTGACATAGAAACAACCCTTAAATCCTCAAATCTTAAGTTCATAGTATATGAGATAAAATAGATTTTTAAAACCATTCCGACCAGGCAGTAATGAGACACTAGAATTCCTCTTGATCATTACAACAAATCGTTGCCCATCTTTGCTCTGTGGCTCTCCCCAGGAGACGCCTGGGGAAGAGAAAACAGGTACCTCTAGATACCCCACTTCAGCCACAGCAACTCCCCTTTTTTCACAAATAGAACATCTAAGTTTTCACTTAAACAAGTAGATTTGAAGACTAATTGGAGAAAATTGTTGAAAACCAAAGCTTAAGTGAAAAGCCACTTAAACCATGTACTGCTGATATTCTTCCTTATAATGAGGTGGATTTTTTCCTTCTAGTTCTACATTTTACTTGACTCAAGCATAAGGAACAGCAGACTTACTCTCTCCTCTTGACAACTTTCTGTTTTTCCACTTTGATGTATTTCAAGAGTTGTTGTCATGTTCCCTATAATCAGATTTTAGCTTATTTTCCTCAGACTCTTCCTTTATTCCTTCAACTAGTACTTATTTTTCTTATGAGATGGGATATGGAAAAGGGAGTGGGTGACTTTTATTTGGTGGATTTTCAGTCTAGCTATTCTACTGTGCTTCTTCCCAGTTTTTAAAAATATGCTTTTTAAAACTATTTTTAGTACTTTATTTCCATACAGTAAACAACACCAATCTTTACACAGCTCTGATTTTTTGCACAGAAATATGTATACATATGTATAGACCCAAGAACAAGTATCTTTCATAATTATTGTGTGTGTATACACACACACACACACACACACACACACACACACTTGTGAGGCCACCACCCAAATCAAGATGTAGAGGAGTTCAATCCACCCAACTATTTCATGTATGCCTTTCCAGTCAATAGACCTCTCCATGGAATCGTTATTATGACTTCTATTACCTATATTTATTATCTATGAGAATGTACATTTGTCCCCTTTTTGTCTCACCTCTTTAGCTGACCATAATGTTTTTACATTTGCTCACGGTAACTAAAGAATAGTGCTTAAACCTGAACAGAAAGTTCAAAGTGAATTCTAAAATATGCGCAATGATGGATCAGCACTTTCTTTGCTGTGGGTGGGAGTTCATCCTCAAATTCTTGCAGTCATGTGACATGAATACGTGAAGCTATACATTTGTAAGGAACACAGATATAAAGTAATTTGGAGAGTTAGGAACCAAACGAGAGAGGAACTTTTATCTCACCCCCACAAAGCATTCAAGACAAATCAGAAAGGAAAGAAAAAGAAACATGATAAATGGCTCTATGCTTCTCTTGAAAAACCGGTCTTTATTTGCTTATTATCCAAAGATCTTGCTTAGCTTCCTCTGTTCCAGATTTTTGTGCTGTTAAGAAATAACACAAATATCTTCTCATTTTTTGTTACTATATTACACTATTCCTAATATTGAAACATAAGGTCTTAAAAGAATTCAGCCTCTGAATAGCATGTAATAATTCCAGGAAGTCACACAGACCCTTATCTCAATTTATTCAGGATTCCTAATTTCCATGTATCAGGATTACTGGCATCTTGCAGTACCTCCTTATTCTGCTGCTGATTGGCCTTCTGAGTCCCAGAATTTTTATTAAATACCTCTGTTTTCCATCTACTGGTCTCAAGGGCCATTAGATGTGATAGGCATGCAAATGACAGAAAGGGTGGCAGAGCACATATTGTTCCCTTCCCCCTCCATTTGTTAAAAGAACCATTTTCACTCTTTTCTTCAAGAGAAAATGCTTCCACACAAAAGCCCTCAGGTTTGCAAGTTGTGTTACCAATGGATTCTCCCACTATTTCTACTTGTTGTGGTGTTCTTTGGCCATGAAGTCATTTCTTCCTTTCTTGAAATATTTTAGCTGTGATTCATAGACACTGCCTTTGAGAATGTTTGCTACATTTTCTGGTAATTTCAATATCTATAATAATAATCTTTATAATACCCTATAATGCTCTGATCTCTCAGTCCCTCGACCTCTGTCCTCCAGATGACTATGACCTCCACTGTCCTTCAGGTACTCATAGGGTCATACTTTCAGTATAGACCTTGTCATTATCTGTAACTGCAAACCCCATATCACCTCACTTTTATTATCCAGCTCCTACTTCTGAGCTTATTTCATATAGTACTCTGATTCCAATAATACTTGTTACCACTACAACCTAGAATCCATTGATTCTAATATTTTTGCACAGCCCCTTATCTCCAATCATGTCCCCACTCCCATATTTCCCTGTTTAAATTCTTCAATTCATCATCATATATTATTTTCTTCATACATCCTCAACCATTGTGACCTTGCCTCAATTAATAGTATATGCCCTTGACTCTTAAACTTGTTAAACCTTACTTTTTGCTTACTGTGTACCTCTGTCAGTGCAGTTAAAAGTGACTGGAAAAAAAAGTCACAACCAAGTTGACAGATCTTATTTAAAATTTATGATTAGTAACCTCAAATGAGACATTAGTGTTGTCTGGCATTAGACTATCACTCTTTCTTTCTCCTTTGTATCTACATTATATCTTCTCTTTTCTCCTCATACGTCTATGCTTATCCTACACTTACTTTTAGGTTATAACCTTGCTTCATAATTCTCTGAGAAAATAAAGGGACTCAAACAAGAATTTCTGCGTGTTCTCACATCTATGCACCTACCTACATCTGCATTCATCTACTCTACCATATTTTCTATGCCTATGAATGAATATCCATCCTTCTAACTAGGGCAAAGCTTCCCTCTTTACTTCTCAAGAACACTGCATTTGCAAATTTCTCCTCTCTCTCCTTGTTATAAATGTTTCTCTCACTACTGGATCATTTCTGTCACTACACTAACATGCTTTTATAATTCCTAATTTTAAAAACTTTCTCTTGATAATACTTCATCCTCTGGCTACCCATTTCTCTCTCCCCTTCACACACACACACACACACACACACACACACACACACACACACACACCTCACATTCTTTCTATTTTGCCCCAATCAGGGTTTTGTTCCAACATTACAGAAAGACTGTTCATGTCAAGATCACCAATGACCCCCCACAATATTAAACTTAGAACCTAATTCTCACCCATGTCTTATTTTAACTATCAGTAGCATTAGATACAGATTAGTCCATCATCCTGGGAACAGGTTTTTCAGTTGACTTCATACATACAAAGTCTACTTTCATTCATTATGACTCACTGTTATGTCTTACTCTTCTTTGCTGGTTCTTCTCCCTAAGGTTTTGCTATTGTCATTCTCCAAGGCTCGGTTGTTGAACATCACTCTTTTCATTTATACTTCTTTATTGGTTCCATCTAGTTCCATCAAGTTGATGGCTTGAAATGCCATGTAACCTCAATGATTCCAAAATTTTTATATTCATCCCTGACCACTCTCCTAAACTTCAGAACTATTTTTCCAGTTACTTACACCTCCATCTGGAGTTCTAATATTTATACATATTTAATACATCCAAATTCTAGAATCCCTTTTTCAAATCAATTCAAATAGTCAATTTTATTTTAGAGTAGTTTTAGGTTCATGCCAATACTGAATGGAAAATTTAGAGATCTCCCATATACCCCTTGCCCAGTTGGCTTCCCCCATTATAAACATTCCCCATCAGAGCGGTACATTTGCTAAAATTCATGAATCTACATTAGGAGATCATAATCACCCAAGCTCCCTAGATTACATTAGGGCTCACTGTTGGTGTTATATGTTCTATGCCAGAACACTGACAACACCAAATGCTGGTCAGAATGTGGAGCAACAGGAACTCTCATTCATTTCTAGAGGAGTGAAAATGGTACAGCCACTTTGAAAGACAGTTGAGTGGTCTCTTTAAAAACTAAACATAACTCTTAACATATGATTCAGCTCTTGGTATTTGCCCAAAGTAGTAGAAAACTTATACTCACACAAGAACTTGCAGCTGTGTTAGCAGCTTTCTTCATAATTACCTAACCTTGGAAAAATCCAAGATGCCCTTTAGTAGGTAAATGGATAAACTATGGTACATCTGAACAATGAAATATTATTCAATGCTAAAAAGGCATGAGCTACTGAACCATGAAAAGACATGGAGGAACCTCAAATACATTTTACTAAGTGAAATAAGCCAATCTGGAAAGGCTACATACTATGTGATTCCAGCTATATGACATTCTGGAAAAAGCAAAACTATGGAGTTTGTAAAAAGATTATATGGTTGCTGAGGGTTGGGGTATTAAGAGGGTTGATTAGGCAAAACACAGAGGATGTTTAGGGCAGTGAAAATATTCTGTATGATACTATAATGATGGGAACCTGTCATTATACATTTACAACATCAAGAGTGAACCCTAATGTAAACTATGGAAATTGGGTGACTCTGATGTGTCAATACAGATTTATCAGTTAAAAAAATATACCACTCTGGCAGAAGATATTGGTAATAGAGGAGGCTATGTATGTGTAGAGACAGGTGGTATATGAGAAATCTCTCTACCTTACTTTTAACTTTGCTGTGAATCTAAAACTGCTTTAAAAATAAAGTCTTAAAAAACGTTATTGATGTATTTTTTACTGATTTATAAAGGCTTTTATATAGAAATCAGGCCTCTTGGAGATATAAGCATAATTTTTCTATCAATTTGTCTTTTTTTTTTTTTTTTTTGAGATGGAGACTTGCTCAGTCACCAAGGTGTAGTGCAGTGGTGTGATCTAGGCTTACCACAACTTCCACCTCCCGGGTTCAAGCAATTCTTCTGCCTCAGCCTCCCAAGTAGCTGGGACTATAAAAGTGTGCCACCATGCCCAGCTAATTCTTGTATTTTTAGTAGAGGCAGGGTTTCACCATGTTGGCCAGGATGGTCTTGATCTCTTGACCTTGTGATCCACCTGTCTCAGCCTCCCAAAGTGCTGTGATTACAGGGCTGAGCCCATTATAATTCATTAAGTTTTATTTTTTGTGAATGTATTCATGTATTTAATAGTTTAGGGTGTTGTCATATTTAGAAATAACTTCCCATTCTAAGGTTCAGAAATATTTTCAAGTTTTTACTTCTTTTATGGTTTCTTCATTAAATTAGATATCTCTTACAATTTGTTTTTCTCTTCTCTTCTAATTTATCTTTATATCTTGTCTTCTAATTTGTTTTTATATAAGATGTGATGTTAGAATTTAAATTTGTCTTTGCTCCGGCTGGCTATACACTTATGCCAATGTCATTTATTCAACTCTTTTACTAAAGATACTATCTTCAATACTACCTTTACCATATTGAAATGTACACTTATTGATGTCCAAACAGTAATATTGTCCATGAGTCAGTGACATATTATTTTCATTGCTATAGTTATTATTATTTTGATGTTTCTTTAAATCAAGAAATGTCAGATAGTAAATCTTTATTATTCATAGATTCCGTGTTTCCAAATTCACCTATTCTT